AAGTAAAGTAAGTTAAATTTAATAAGTAAGTACCTACCTCTTCCTTACTACTTACTTACGTTAAAACTTAAATTAATTTAGTTCTAACCTAACCTACTCTCTCTCTCTCTCTCTCTCTCTCTCTACCCTTTAGCTCAAGTTGCAAAGATGAACCCTTAGCTTGTAGGCATGGTGTGTCATTTCCTTCTATAACTTTCTTTTTAGAGACCATTGTCCAATGTCTTCTTCCTTTTCCTTCTTCTGCTTCCCTTATTTTTCTTTTGCTTAGCATCTTTCTAAGGGGGGAATGTGAGGCAGGCCAAGGCACCCGCATGGGGCAAAAGACAGGCACCTACACACAGGGCTACCATGGTAGCTGCCTAGGTCCCTTCAGTGCGCTGCGAATAAGTCAGGCCTCAAACTGCAACCTCGCCAATATCCCTTCTTCTGCTTGCCTTTATTGTTCTTTTGCTTACCATCATTCTAAGGGAGGAACATGAGGCAGGCCAAGGCACCCGCATAGGGCAAAAGACAGGCACCTACACACATGGGCTGCCTAGGTCCCTTCGGTGTGGTGCAAATAAGTCAGGCCCCAAACTGCAACCTCACCCATATCCCATGTAACTATCCACGATAGAGTAATACCAAAACTTTGCCAAACCCTCAAGAATAAAATCATCTCGAAACTTAAACAATGGATGTTCAAAACCTTATCATACCTCAGTAGACTTGCCTTAACTCATGCTCTTTCCCGGAACATAGTTTCTCCGTCTTTCAATTAGCTTCCACCACAATAAAAACACTAGACTCCAAAGAATGTCTTATGGGGCAATTACCAAAAATATAAACATTAGAACCTTGTAAAATGGAGCAACATTTATAAACCAAACGTTGGAGGTGGAATTGGGATCAAAATGATTAAGGTTACAAATACACCCTTACTTGTTAAACTCAAATGGAAACTGGCAAGTGAAAGCCAATCCATGTGGAGAATGAAATATCTTTGAAGAAGTAGCATATGGTATACAAGATCAACAGGAAATGAATCTTGGCCTTGGAGGGAAAACACTCCCTCTTATAAAAAGAAAATAGCTAATGGTTTATGGAGGATTGATCTATGATTGAGTTTTGGTTTGATCCTTCCCTCAATAAAGCGTTCAACTATGACATTTTCGGGGAAGAAAGCATTAAAGAATTAGGCCTTCAGAGATCTCTATGTATCTCCCAGTTTTTTGATGGGAATACATGGGGATTCCCTCCTCCCACCATTGTGAAATTCATGAAAGTTGAGGTTAAGCTTAGCAAAGAATATTCCTACTGATGGAGTGTGAGAGATGCATTAGTAAGGGTGTCCAACAACTGTGGAGAAATCAACTCCTAAAGTGCCCATGGCCTAATTCGAGAGAATGGAACCGAGAATAGATTTTTTATTTGATGAAGTAAATGGAACCAAGAATATATTACTAGAGGCAATTTGAAAAAAGCCAATAAATCCGAGAGCCTCAAGGTTTACATAGGTAACTTTCTAAAAGAATTTAACTACCTTTGATAGAGTTCAAACATGCGGCGCATACGAATGCAATAGATACTTCCTGTGCAAAGGATGATTTCGACGACCCATGTGTGCCTTGCTGTGTAATATTTGACAAGTAACCATGTGGAAGTTTAACATCAGAACCATAGACAGAACAAAAATCCAAATCCTCTTCACAAATTGGTTCCACAAGGATCTCAATAACAAATTTTTAGCCAATCTTTAGAATACCTCCCTTCCCACCCTAATTTGGGCTATGTGGCAAGAAAGGAATCGGCAAGCAAATAAAGACCATCATTATAGTATTGAAGGAGATGATATATAAGACTCAAAATTGTAAGGATAAGCAAATTTAACCCCCCCCCCCCAAATAATAAATGAGAAAAAATTATAAATGAAAGATGGGAAATACAAGTTCCTAATGGCACTGAGTGACAAAGCGTATATATAGGGAGGTTCTTATGTACATGAAAACTTAAAAAGAGATTTTTAGCAATGTTCCATGGCAAAGAGAGAGATATAAATATCATATTATCCACGGACTAGCCCCTTAACCCATGTAAATCCTCCACAAATGGATAGAAATGGTTGTGTTCCCGCACAAACCCCGACTACCTTAGTGAAGGGAAACATACCTTATATTGACAATATCATGGCACGCTACATAATATATGTATATATATATATATACATATACATATATATATATATATACACACACACAGGTGTGTGTGTGTGTGTGTCAACCCACAGGCTTACTGCTACAATGTCAACCAATGGCCCAAATTGAATCTGGGCCGATTTGACAATCACAACCTTATTTCGTATTTGAATTTTCATTTTTTTTTTTACAAATTCAAATCACTTGAAAATTTAACCGCGCATTCTACTCATCAAGGCGCACCTAATAAAAATATAAAAAAAATAATTCGTAAAATATAAATTGACCAAAATACCTATTTTGGTCAATTTATATTTTTCAAATTATATTTTTAATATTTTATTAGATTCTACTATTTTTTAAGAATAGACGCTCAAAATTTTCTAGTGATTGGGATTTGTATAAAAAAAAATTAAAATTCAAATACGAAATGAGGTCGTGACTATTGGATTGGGCCCATATTCAATTTAGGCCATTGGCTGACACTGTAGTTGTCTGCCTGTGGGCGGACAGGATCTTTTCATATATATAAGGTTTGTCTAGAGTTAATAACCCCTCAAAATACAAAGGTTCAAATTAGAAGGGGTTGTGATGGGTGTATTTATCAAAACAACCATTACTTTTTTACTCAAAAATTATTTAAATACGTAACTTTACCATTAAGCAAGGGAAAATTTGAAATTTTCACAAAAGTACAATGGCACTTTGGAAGTTAGTATCCTAAAACTTTATTTGTAGAGTGCCCTTGTCTTTTAATTAAAATTTCAATTTTACCCCTTATGGAGATGACAAAAATACCCTTTGTCTTGTAGTAATATTTACAAATTTACCCCACAAAAGTAAATTTGTTAACAAAGTAGACAACAAATTAATAAATCTACCTTTCATAACTCTCTCTCTATCTTGAACCTTTGTAATTTGAAGGGTTGTATATATATATATATATATATATATATATATATATATATAG